CATATTACGTAAAATGATATAAAATCAAAAGAACACTCTGCAAACAAAGCACGAAAAAAAAGTTTGTCTCTTTCAAGATGGCGATTTACAATTTGATAAGAATTGTTATCAGCGCTTATCTAGATACAACGCGATAATGCGACGAATGCGCGTCAACGTAGAGCACTATTCGAGTTGCTCGAAAGCGACAAATATTTACGTAATTCACAGTGAGTAAACTGCACAGGGTATCCTAATCGTTCTCCGAGGCAAGCAGATAGAAATCGTACCTGTCGACAAGTAGAAATTAATTTCTATGTGTTTCCAACGCAGTGAAGCATTCGAATCTAGATAAAGAGACCTCCGTACGACCTTTAGGGTCCAAAGCGACCCTTTTGTTAAACGAATTCCTCCCTAGAGCCGCACATATCACTTAACCCTTACAATTGTCAAGGAACCTAATCTACCGTTAGTGTGTGCTCTTGTAAACTTATGTAACAATTTAACTTACTATCGTCTATCACTCGATTTAGAAGGAATATAACGCGTATTATTTATCTAGATAAAATTATTTATATTACCGTATTGTGCACCGCTTATTAAGGTAAATGATGCAATCGAGTTACTCATTGTGGCAATACGTAGCAGATAATGCTATAAATAATATGCGTCATATAGCAATATCGACATATATATTTGTATGGCGTAAAATTAAAATAAACATCATATGTGTCATGCGGACATCGATATATCATTTATTTTATGTTACAAGCATTATACGTGACAATATGTTGTGCTTTCTATTTAGCGATACTATTTTATGTGATTTATTGGCAGTGCAATAAATAATTATATTAAAAAAAGAATTTATCTCTGACAAAGTACCGTTACATTCGGTCTATTCAATAATTTACTTTTATTATTCTATTTTGATAGCATACGATATAAAAATTAAATTTCATAGGAATAAAATGTGCGCACATTATTCATTTAACAAAAAATGGGTAAAGTATCTATTGGCATTGTATAATAATTTAATATAAGCTATTACTTTTTTTATTTACGTCATACAGAAACTGGCTATGTTACACGAATTATTTACGAGCGTTTTATTAAAAAAATGAATCGTACCTGATAAATGGACACTACAATAACCTTTTTTTCTTTGTCCCTTTTGACGAATAATTTATTCTTCACTGAATACTAAGCAATTAGCTAATTAAAGATAAATTCGTTTTAGTTTATACAATTCGATTTTTCAGTTTTACAAATTATTCGAATGCATTTGTTCATTATATTAAAATTTCAGCGAGCCTCGGCATATCTAAGAAAGGAGAAATTCCGCTCTTCGAATCGCGCTCGTTTTACATAAGACGGGTACATATTTTAGCGACATTCACTCGGCAGGGGGTAGATGAAAAAGACTTAGGAGCAGCGATGAGAGAGGTGAAGAATGGCGCAATGTCGCACCGAAGGCTGAGGGAGAGGATTTAGCCCTCTCACATCGAGGAATGCCAGCGAGTTATTTTAGGCCTTCCCAACTTCCTTCCCATTCTAGAGAGATGCGTTTACGCGACGTAACAAAATAATGAAGCGAAGAGCACCCCTTGCTGCCGCGACAATACTCTCTTGACTCTTTCCTGACGATGAAAAAAATCTTTTCTCTACAAACATTCCCTTGTCCTTCCTTCTCTTTTATTCTCTTTTCTTTACGCCATATAGCTCTCTGTCTCTGTCTCTTTTATGATTCTTAAAAGAATACCAGAGCTCACGCTGAAGGAAATACTTTTAAATACGAAATACGATGATAAAGAACGTCGCGACATTTTCTGCGCATAAATACTTTTTCCATTAGAAGGGAACATAGAGTAGAAACATGAGCCCTTGTTCTAGGAGCCTCTTTGTCCTCGTAAACAGACTTTTTAAAGCCGTGCTTATAAAAAAGTTACGGGTTATCTATGATGACATAAGCAGGTCGCATTTTCGAGCGCTCTCTTGAAAGCCGTTGAGATGCAGTTAGTAGAATTTGGACCTCTATGTTGTTTATTTTAACGAAATCTTGTCTTTGTTGATCAAGATGTTCCGAAGGATTCTTGACTCGACAGGAAGGAAGGGTGCATGCTTCAAAGCGTAATGTTTCTTATATATTATGCCTCTAATATTATATGCTTCCTCTTCTCTTCCGCTTGACTTTTCGTTACGAAGGAAGTCTTGCATCCGACATTCTTATAGCATATTTTTTTCCATGCCATGAAGTATCTCATTCTCAGTTTTCACGAGCAATAAAATTATGGAAAAAAGAAGTGAGCAACAAACGGCACAGGATAAGCGTTAAATTACATTTTCCAGTCGTTCGTCACAAATTAAAACAGAGAGAAAAATAGAAGTTAACGATTACTCAAAACGCCACAGTATCTTCTTAGTGAAAATAAAAGAATTTTTGCAATTGTTACAACCGAAATAGCATTCTTTCTATCTTTTGTGAATAAAGCTGTCATAAGCCATAAAATAACTTTAAAGTTTTTTAAGAATTACACAATTCTCATATAAACGTTATATCAAATTAATGATGGTTTCCATAAAAACAAAACAAGTTGAAAAAGTTAAGTTTACAAAAAAAACCTTCTCATTTTTAAACTGTCCATTATATAAATATGGTAATTTTTCTTCGTAATAGATGTTATGTGTAACAGTGTTAGGACCAGTTGTTCCACCTTCCGGTAAATTTTACCTGTCAGGTAAATGTGCCGATCAGCGTATGTGATTGGGTAATCTTGCTACTTACCTAACGAATAAAATTTACCGAAAGATGGAACAACCGGCCCTTAGACTTTAATTAATATTTAAAAATTGTTAGACTTTAATTAATATTTTAGTAGAATCCATTTTTTAAATCTTTAAGCTTAATTTTTTATCTATTTACATTTTACATTTATTTTTTATAATTTTAATAGTGATAAAAGAAAATAACGAAAATATTATTTAAAATATATATACGGAGAAAATTTTCTCTTAGAATTTATTCTGAAAATCATGATAATCACGTAGAACAACATGGTATTTCAAAAAATTTTATGTGATTCTCTCTGATTTATTAATAATCTCTAATTCATGAAAGTTATATGTACTAAAATGTAATAACATAATAGCAACTAATTTTATTATAACATTAAAGTAAAATTTATAAATTTGACAAAACGCCTTATATTTTGTATTAGAGCAAAATACAATTTTTTTATTATATATAATAACAGTATATATACTGTTATTATAATTATTTATAAAACGTCTTTTGCATACAACATTAAAGATTCCTATCATCTCTCTCACCAATAATATTTAAGTTATCAAATTCCACTTTTACATCACTAAATATGGTAAAATTTTATATTTATAATTGATAAAAAATTTTCTCCATATGTAAAGCAAAAAATTTTTTTTAATATTTGTATTCAAAATTTTATAAACCAACCTTAACAAAAAAATTATCCTTTACAAATATTAAACTCTTATTATTTTTTCTCTCTCTCTGAGACATTTAACTCTTGCTGATACAAAATTATTCACTGTGACCAAGTATGTGACGTTGCTGATAGAAAATAATTTAACGCCATAATTCAGATTTTAAAAAATTGATTGTTTGGTTCTTATATAGGAAACCCTTTCGATTATATTATGACAATTTAGGACATAATAATTTTTAATTATTTAAGTCGAATTAATAATTTTTTATTAAAAAATTAGTGCATTATCCATAATTATACTAGAATAAAATATAATTTAAATTAGTGACGTAGCTTAAATTTATCGATAGCAGAGCTGTTTCTCGCGTGTTAAGTAACAATTGTTGGATATAATAACAGTGTCAGCACTACGCTACATTGTATTATGTCATTGGTATAAAGCAAGAAACTTTAGTTATATATGTTAATGTTAACATTGTTGCAACCACCTCTTGAATATGCTAATTAACTGAAATGAGGCGTAACATAGAGTTCTGTATGATATATGTTAGCCATATTAGCGTAAACAAAACATTTTAACAGATTGCCGATGGGGTATGAGATTTGCCGATCTACATAGCATAATGCAGAAATTTCCGTAGCCTGTTATTAGTGTGAAATGAGTAATCGCAACATGGGCGACCTACTTTCATATTAGTCAGTAATTATTCAGCAATATACAAATGAACATCATTGTGTTTTGTTATGACAATTAACAATTTACCTCAGTAAATAATCTAACGTTACTTTTATTGTTACTTAATATTCCAATGCTTATTAAAAAAACGATAATTTGCACAATAACAGTTTAATGCTTAACTGTCAAAAATATTTACAAATAATAACAAAAAGTAAAGATCTCAAAAACTATCACATATATAATTGCCATGTATATGTATACAATACCATTTACAGTATTTACCAAATAATAAGATAAATAAATTGGTTATCTAAAAATAAGTTAACCAATGAGAAACAAAGCCTTTAACGGTCTAGCTAGATCAAATTCCGTGTGAATTTATTCTATACTACGTATGTAGTCTTTTAAACTGTGCGCCGATTTTTCAGTCTTAAAACGCAAACTTTACTATACTACCACAGTAATATTACGAGTTAAATTGACTAGCAATTTAACAATTTTTGATGTTCTTTACACAACTTAGATCGATTTTAAATATATATATATATATATATATATATATATATAACGACGTATATTAAAATCTGCAAATAATTAATTCTTTTATTGCGAAAATTATTACTCCCGGCCGAGATAATATTTTTTTAAATTCAGCTATAGGTATAGACCGTTAAAAGCTTTGTTTCTTATTGGTTGTGTTCCTCATATGTACGGTTCAATGATATTTAAGATTTAATATTGTTAAAAATAAGTTACTTCTCTTATCCTAAAAATACGACTGTGTTTAAAATAACTTAAAATAAACAATACACAAAAATTCTTTTTGTAATTTTTTTTAAACAACTTTGCAGTGTAAAAATAATAGAAAAAAAACTCACGTATTTTCCTTTTGGTCGCCGTTGGCCGAGTGCGACGGGGACGGCTGGGTCTGCTGTTTGGAATAGGGATGGTGATGCACCACGTTGTTGTTATTATTGTTGTTATTATGCATGTGCACCTTGTTGGCGTTGCTGTCGGTAGGTGAGCCCGGCGAGATTTTACCCGCCAGAGCATTTAGCGACTGTAACATTTTCATGGGAGTCCGTTTGGCGACCGGGTGTCGGTGCCTCCTTCGCTCGGTCTCGTTTATCGTTGAGGAAGACAGGATTATTGTACGCTTGCGGTTTGAAGGCGTCAACCCTCAAACTCTACAGTATGTGCACGAACAAGCTACTTCTAGCGTCTCGGGTAAACTACGAACAACACAGGACACTCTCGATTCACGAATCACGTTCGCGCTCGGAAACGAATCGAAATCTTAGCACGAGGAGCACACACTCATCACGTGGATTAAGCACACCGACAACACGAAAGTACGCGGAAAGACTAATCCTGTTGAGGTCTTGTTCAATTCGTACCAGCGGTGACTGATAGTGATCGATATCCGACCTTTCGTTTCGTATACTTTAGAATCCAGACAGATATTGGAGCGTCTTTTGAGATCCGTTGCGACACGATCCAACTGTGGGTGCGAATACGAAACCCTGTGGACAAGTACCGGTGATATAAGAATTACATCTACATTCATGGATAAATTGTATGTCATTATCAAAATACATTAAATTTGTTTGATTGACACAATAGGTACGTGCAATGCTACTAATGCAGACTGATTGTTACAATAATAATTAAAAATATACTTAAATCATATCATGCATTTATTTTTGTTTCCACTGTATTTTAATTCTCTGCGTCATTTTTAAAGTCTCGTATTCAGAGATTAAAGTAAAATTAATTTTTGATGGAATACGTATAACACTATTTTTTTAATGAAAGTTATCAAAAAATTAATGATCTAACATCTTTATATTCCTACAATACCTGCTTCTTAGTTTAATCTATTCAAATATAATCAATTGTATATAGATATAAAAAGTTTTATCATTATATTCAAATATAAATAAAAAAAGCAAAAATATACTTTCTTTTATTCCATTAACTAAAATTTAATTAAAATTTCATTTTATTAAACTACTAAATATTACATATACAAATGTAAATAAATAACATAACTCATATAATATTTATTAGAATAATGCAACACGTTTATTAATAAACATAATGTTCAGCTACTTTTCTTAATAAGATCTTGGCGTCTTATCGATAGCAAACTTCGGCATTGTGATCCGTTCATGCGGATCGTAAAACATGGTGAAGACGAGAGAAAACCGGAGAAAAGCGGAGACAAACGTCGAACTGGAGAACACGGGACGACACCGTAGAGAAAAACTGGCTAAGCGGGCGCGTGCGTTGTAAACTGCTTTACAACGAGTCAATTAAAAGTTTAAGTTTAATTAGAAACTCGAGTCATGTGCGGCGCGCAAGCGAGGATGGAAGAGGAGGCTGATTTCGTTGCCCGTTCACCGCCCAGTTTTCGTCCTTTTCCTCCTTCTATCTCTCACTTTCGCGCCTCGCCTCGCCTTTCCCATCTGCGTAACTCCCGAGTCCCAAATTACCGGTCCACGAACTCCCTTTTGTATCGCGCACGTCTCACAGCGGGTCAAGTCTTGGGAGCCCGGCGCGCGGAAGAACGAAGAACGTGGGAGATATGCGCGATAGGAAGAAACTGATGGAGCTCCAGCGGAACGATACGACGGCGGAATCCGTCGCCTGAGAATTCGAATTAGTTTCCGACTTGGCGCGAAGGAGCATTTGCCGATTTCCCATTGCAATATAGAATGAAACTCTACGAACGAAAGCGTCTTTAACTTTGACAAAATCAAAGCGGGAAAATTATAAAGCGAAAAGATGGATGGGATTTAAAATCTTTAAATGTGTGTCAAATGTTAGAATGGTGTTTTTTTAGATTTTGCACAAATTATATATAGCTACTTTGACTACTCCACTTATGTAAATAATATTTGTAATTTTAATATAATTGAGACCTCAAGTTTAATTTAAAAAATAGAAAATAAAAATTAGACTTTATTTATTATTTATATATAACTTAAAAAGTATATATATGTATATAATTCGTTCTAAATCGACTGTGCCTGACTTATTAATAGAAATGATTATTTGCGGCTTCCTAGAATTTTATCAAAAATAGATAATTCAATTTTTTACCTAACTGGGGCACTATATTTGTTGTTTTCTAGCTAAAATTGAATTAAAATTAATCTCTCAATCTCTGACTAACAGAATCAAGCAGAGTTACAAAAGAACAGTCGTTATACATATAAAATAAATTCACAACTTTCTTCAATCTATTATTCGTTTTAAATTCAACATTGCGGGCGATTTAGTGAGAGCGTTTATATGATATTAATCATTAATTGTGAGATCAAGAAAGGATTACCGTCGGTTATATAGACTAAAAAAAGAATCAGAGTTAAAGCAATTCAAAGTAAAGGCTCGTCGGTTTTACTAGGTGTGTTCTTACAAAATCAAGAGAGAATTGAATAGGTACTTGCAAACCTGCCACTAAGCAACGCGAAAGGAAGAAAAGTCGAGCCGACGCGATGGGTGTAAGAACTCACGGTGAAGAGATTTTAGCTTCTTGCGGATTACATTTGAAGGTCCGTCGAGGGCAAAAAGATGAGGATACAGGAATACGCTAGTTCGAAAGGCGAAGTTGAGGACAAAGTGGAGTAAATTCGTGGCGACGGAGGATATAATTACCGGAACTACTTCGGTTGTCGAATGTCAAAGAGATCGCACATAATTTAACACATGAAGCGGAACCTGTACAAAGAGTATGATGCGGTGGGGCGGAGAAGATAGGGAAAATAGAGGCGAAACGGAGCATAGTTCGCGGCTTGTGCCGTAAGCGACAGCGAAAAAAGCGAAGAGAAAAGGGAAAAAATGACAGGATGGAAGGAGAGCGGAGGACAGAGGGACCGTATCTTGATATGCTACACCTAAGCCTTTTGTCCTGTACACATTTTTGCCTCTCCAGTCCTCTACTCAACTTTCCCCCTCACTTCTTTTCGCCCATGCTCTCCCACGCCCTCAATGTACGTCGACGTTCTTTGTCGCCGTCCACTTAACGCGCTAAAGCGTCAAATTAAAAACTCGAGGCACCCTGGAAAACAACGATTAATCGCTCACGCGGCAGCGATTGCCCGTTATCGTTCTTGCTCGTCGTTGTGACTTTATAGCGCGTTTCCCTCGGTTTTTCTCTCACTATAATCAACTTCCTATACCTTTTGGACTCACGCGATACCACTGGACACCTGGCCCGCGGAAGCGACACTTTCAAGATACCTCCTTGGAGCTGCAGAATGATGCACGAATCGCGAAATTATAGTAACCTGAGCGGCACGACGATCTCGTCGACGGCACCTGAGTACTATGACTGACGACTCGACGAGCGCAGTTACCGACCATCGTATCTCCGGATAAGCCTTATCGGTAACCAAATACCCCACCCTTCGCCCGTGGGACGCATCCCTCGTATGCCTCTTTTTATTCAGCACTCGCGTATTTTTCTGTCGACACAACGAACTTCACATTTGCAGTTCTCTCGCTTATACGTTGCTCGCGTGTTACGTTTTCTCTTTCTTTCTTTTTTATTACGATGCACCCAAATCCACCTACGTCAGACACTATTGGACGTTGGACACGTCGCTCGAATCACCAGCTTCTCCCGAATCGTCGACGTGGTGATCTCTGGAATGGCATGTGATCGTTCATGCGCGATCCAGACGCGTCATGACGACGCTTAGCGGTGTTTTGGATAGACGAATCGCGTTAAGGAACACGTTTCTCACAGAATCCCACAATGATGATCATTTCTCTTCCACGATATCACTTATAATCCATGGAGAATGTGAAGTCGCGTCGATTTTACGACGTCACCATGTCAATCGTCATCTGCAAAGAATGTACACCAGTTAAGAATACTACTTTTGTGTTTTGATTAAACGTCGTTAAAGTCATCCGTTTGAAACTCGCAAGGTACCTACATATAACTTTTATATCTTACTTAAATTAAGATCAATAAAAATAAAACAATGCATTTTCACTAATGGTGTACGAAAAAAATTGTAGAGATTTTATTTCCTAAATAGATTTACAAAAAATTAAACAAAAGAAAAAAATTTCTTAAAAAAAGGTAAAAACAGTTCGCCAATTTGAGAATAAATCGAATCACGTAAGAAACGAGAACTCAACCCAATTAACACTTTCTGTACGATTGTAATTACCGAAGCAAAACCAGATATGAGTGATCCTAAAATGTCTAACAGCGTGTGTTAAGAGCAAAAGAATGTTCGTCAATATTTTCTCACTACCAAGCCAAAGCGATGAAGCAGACACCGACCGGCGTTTTTAGAGATTAGATAAGACGTAGAACGCTTCACTGCAGTGACTTGCACAACGACACGGCGACGTGATTGCCTTGTGAAGACACTACCGTCGAGTAAAGCAGCGCAGTGGAGTCGTGGGTGCAACGGTACAAGAAATATTTGACGTTTATTGTATAAGTAAGTGTCCGACAAAATGCACGTCAAACCGCTAAAAGCGGAAATATTCAGTGGACGTACAGCCTTATACAACCGTTTCCATAAATTATAGCATTAATGCTTTGACGATCAACCGAGTGACACTCGTTGCGTGTCTTTCAAATTAAACCTCCGTAATTCAAGCAGCATAAAACTTTAAAACATTGTCCGAGGTTATCGCGCAATATATATGCGTCATATGGTATAACATTTTACTGATAAGTATAACAATCAATGCTGCTGCGGCTCTACTGGACTGTATTACATTTACTATTGAGTATTACGTAATACACAGGCGTCGATAATAAAATTGCAAACATTTTTTTACATCCCAAATTATATATAGATACAAAATATATATGAAAAGTGATAATTTTTTTTAGTATTGATTTCTTAAGAAAATTAAATACTATTGAAAACTAAAATTTGCATTTCATGCATACTGTTTTCAATATACATTTAGTAAAATAATAAAATATGCACACGCGCGTAAACCCTTATTTAGAAGTTGCAGATTTATTATATCTAAAATAATAATCATAATCAACTAATACATGCTCGTTCACTGAAAAAAGAGCACTATGTTTTTCTACGCGTTCACTCATTCTTCACGCAGTTTTCAAGATTTTTTAATGCAATTAATACGTTTAACTTAAAAAAAAAAAGATATATGTGTTATCTATATAAAAATATAAGATAATCAAATGTGCAAAGTGTGCGTATGTGTGTGTATATAAGTATATAAAATTATTACTGCGCGCATGATTCTTCTTTTGATTCTCTTTATTTAATAATCAATAGCTTTTTCGAGAAAAACATATACGAGATTATTTCAGATCGGAATTTGCAAGGCGAACATTTCTGCATATTTTATTATTTTATTACGTCATTTGACAGGTATAAATAATAACAGATCGATGAGTAATATCAACAATCAAAGGTCTACAAAATAATGAAATGCGTTATAACAGAGCATTATTCAATATAGTAATTAAAAATTCGTTGCGATTGATATTGCGCTCGTTTGCATATATGATGTATTTCATTTCGAAATTATGTTATAAAGAGGAATTGATAATTGTTATAAAGGAATTGTTGTCAAGCCGATAAATACAGTAAATAGGAGTAAATTTATATATTTAACTATACAATATTTTCATCGAGAGAAGCCCTCTGAAAGTTTCTGCAGGAATGGCCGTTATATTCTAGCGCCGCAAGCTTTTGAAACGAGTTTCGGAAGCAAAATTTGTTCGTCGAAAAGTAAAATAAAGCATTGTATTTCAACAACGAGAAGTTTTACGTCATACTTCAGTTGATGGAACGATTCGCTATTCCTTTGTGTGAAAACTTTTGTGACTAACTATTTAGAGTAACATGAGAAGAATGGTGGCAACAGTTAATTACAACGACAAAGTTAATCAAAACAATGAAATTTATAGAAAAAATGTAATAGAAAAGCACTTAAATTGGATTTAAAAGTATGTATAACTTAAAAATAAATACCAATTACCCCTACAATTGAAATTATTATGAGTTTATCGATCGAGTTATTTCACGTAATACAGTGAAGAAACATTTGAAACACGTTAGGCGTAAATAACTGACAGATATAAGCAGGCTGTAAGCGAAGTTCTCGTCCGAAATAACAATGCAGGCGATAGGATAGTATCGTTATTGCATAGCTAAGCAACCATCACTTGTTTGCCAGAGCGAAACAGTCCCGTTTGCAAACCGACAAAGAGGTATTGTTCTTTCGAGGGATCTCTCCAGCACGCTTGGTTCCTCTACTATTTACACGGCCTAACTCAACATCATATCCCAAAGTTCGCGCGGCTCTCCAGGAATAACGTACTTCAGGACAGTCACGCTTCGCAAGAGCATCATATCTCTAATATGATTTATCTAATTTATCTATTTAGCTCAAACTTTGTACAACAAACAAACATTTGTCGAAAAACAATACTTACACTTATATACGAAAGAACGACTTTGTTGAAAGATTAAAAAATTCAGCTGTATATAGACCTAAAAATAAATTTGTTGGACCATTAAAATAATTAGATAGTAAATTCAAACGTGATGAATAATGCTGCAAAAAGTTTTAACTTTCTACAATCGGTTTGAGTGTTCTACATAATTATTTTGATGAATCAACAATATTATTTCCAGATGTGTAACTGATTTTTAAACGATTTTAGCGAAATTTTATTCTTTGCTTGTAATTACAAACATTTATCGCAGTGTACAGAATTGCAGATGGTAATTAATTGTTTATCAAATATAAATTATTTGTACTAAATATATAATAGAAAATATTGAAAATACTAAGTAATATATAAATAGTGTAGAATCCGTATATTATTATTTAATCAAACATATTTGCAAAAAGATATTTGATTAAAATCCATGATTCATTATTAACACTAAAATATATAACAATCGGCATTAGTAAAAAATATGTTAATACGACGCAATGAATTTGATACACAATTCCTATAATATCGTATACACATATAAAATGTTTGAAAAACTCGTATCTATCATAAAGATACTTTCTTCATTATTTGGACACGAATCATTGTAATTCTCTCAGCACCGACTTCAACGGAATCGAGTGCAGAAACAATGAAAGTACAAGAACTCATGAGTCCGGCGCCATTCACGAGAACTTTCCACAGAATGCCCTAAAGTCCAGCGAGTCTAGATAAGTTATCGTCCCAGTTGAATCTCGACAACAAATCTCTCGGGGGTAACAGCGTTTTATCCAACGCGAAAACGGGACTGACCCACGAGCTTCTCGAAAGTAGAAGAATTTTCTGAAAGTCGTTTGCGAAAAGTACGATAGTTCAATAAGCATTTGACGACGACTCGACTTTACAGGATCAATGATTTCATCGATTGTAGCGAAATTTTTACGAGAGAGACGCAATTTTTATTCTATATAGGTATACCAAAAATGATATAGTCTGATATCAAATCTAATATACAGAAAAATCAATTTATACTCCATAATTTTCAATATAGTACGTATCACTAAATTCTTGCACTATCTACTTTGAAATTATTTATTATTCATAAAATATAGATTATTAAAAAATGTAAAATATTAATAAATATATTTTGCGTAATATTATTATAGGGTTCGATATAAATAAGGTGCCAGAATAATTATTAAAATGAATAATTATTAAAATGAAATTATATGAGGATAAGTTAATAATATTAAATTAAAATCGATAAAAGACAATAAATGGTAAGTAACGAAATTGTGTATTATTTGAGAGAGCAAGTAGAACATCAGAGCGTTGAATGGAACAAAGGCGTTCAGACACAAATTTTGGAGTCAGAGTTTAATTAAGTGTAATAAATACTTCTTTCGTCTCTCTCTCCCTTTCTCTCTCTCTCTCTATTATTGCAATTACCGACTTGTTCCTTTGGTGTACCGGCTTCAACTCTACATTACTATCATATATTACCCACATAGCAAAAGTTAATCTTATCTTATCGTAGGTATCTTATGTATCCAAAGGGATTTCTGTGAGTTTATCTTCTTAGAATCGTACAATATTACTGAGATATACCTACTAAAGATGTACATTCGCTTATTTATATGATATCCATGGAAGTCTCATGAGTGGATATCACTAGGAGATGTACCATGTTTATTTACCAAAATTTAAACTTCCAACTATATTTAGTGGATATCTTTAAATGTCTTTCGTGTGTGAATTCTCAACTAATTTTTATATCCTTAAATATACAAAATGTAACTATAAATAGTAGAATACATTAACATTCACAGATTCTGTTTAAAAAAATATTAAAAGTAAAGATAATTACGATTTGACCATTTCTTTCTGTAAGGCTCTAAAAAAAATTTAATTTAATTATAATTTGAATGGAGTATATAGTTTCTACATAGTTTTGACAGAAAACAATATTTTGTACGATGATATAAATCAAATATGAAGCGTTAAGTATATTACACGTTTCTAATACTAAATCAAACAGAAGCAGTACCTAATCAGAGAAAAGAAATTAATATTTTTTAAATATAAATATTACTAAAACAGAATTATGTTATTCTTTTGAAGTAAGTAGTGAATTGTGTGACAACAATATGGTATATTAGTTTTGTTTTATCATATCAAAAGGCACGATAATGTTTTGATACTGAGAGTTCTTGGTACTAAGAATAATATAAAGATTAATTCGTATATGTAAATAATTAAAAACTTCTTAGATATAATTACCTAGAAAAAATTATACAAATTTTAAAAATAAAAACGGATAATTCTTTATAATCTTTTTTTATTATATTTTATTTATAAAACTATTCTAATTCAAAATAGAACAGTATAAATGCATTAC